TACAAGAATATATATGGATTAGGGGTGGGGATTTCGACCATTTACAAGTTCTCAAACAGGAGGGGGTGGTGTGACCCCAGGGGACTCGCCTTTTATTTCATTTGATTTGTTTTATTGTCCAATACAAGAATATATATGGTTGCAGGGTGGGGATCTTGACTGTTTACAAGTTTTCAAAAAAAAAGGGGGGTGGGGGTGACCCCTGGACTTCCCCTATATTTCATTTGATTTGTTTTATTGTTCCATACAAGAATATATATGGTTTAGGGGAAAGGATCTCGACCGTTTACAAGTTCTCAAACAGGAGGGGGGTGGGGGTGACCCCAAGGGACTTGCCTTATATTTCATTTGATTTGATTTATTGTCCCATACAAGAATATATATGGTTTCGGGGTGGGGATCTTGACCGTTTACAAGTTTTTTAAAAAAAGGGGGGTGGGGGTTACCCCAGGGGTCTTCCCCTCAATTTCATTTGATTTGTGTTATTGTGCCATTCAAGATTATATATGGTTTAGGGGTGAGGATCTCGACCGTTTACAAGATAAAAGCACATTCTCAAATGGAAGGGGGGTGGGGGTAAGAATATATATGGTTTAGGGAGACTTAATTATCTACAAAATGTCTAATAATGAACAGTAAAGTTCAAACTTCATTTATACAGTCCTACTAGTAAATGTCAAACTTTATATATACAGTCCTACAGATCTTATCAGGAAACAGAAATTTTTCAAATAAATCTGTCACTCCAATGATTATCATATGCTAAGATATAACCCAGATCTAATTGGTGAATGTAAAAATGAAGGGATAGCAAGAATTTTAAAACTCAAAAAAAGGGCAGCAAGTTTAATTCTAGATGCAGATCCTTTATCCCCCTCAGCCCCCTTAATTAAAAAACTTGGGTGGATGACAGTTGACAATAGAATAAAATACCACAAATATTTACTTCTATATAAATGTATCCGTATGGAAGCACCAATGTACCTAGTTCAAAAGTTTAAACTGAAATCAGATAATAATCCTTACTCCCTGAGAGGCGTCACTCAAGGTAATCTGATAGTTCCTAAGCCAAAAGCTGAGCTATTTAAGAAATCTTTTGTTTATTCTGGATCAGTGTTATGGAATGGACTACCACACAAAATGCGTAAAGCTCAAAACACTTATACTTTTAAACAAAGTATCAAGAAGTACTTAACACAGTCCTGATAAGATTATATTTTCTACAATGTGTTTGTATATTCTTTTATTTTTATTTGTATTTGATTTTTTGACTACATGTACATCTTGAACAGCCTTTTATCTTATTATGTTAGTAATATTACATTGAACTAATTGACTGTAAATTAACTATGTGTAAATATCTGTTTTTGATTGTATTGTAATTTGTATGTGAGGGCCTCAGGGAAGATTAGTTTATTGTAACTAACTGAGTTTACCCTCTTTAAATAAAGAATTTATTATTATTATTATTATAATTAATAATTAATAATGTAATAATCTTCAAAATGTCTAATAATATAGCTTATAATCATCACCACTTAGGAAATTGATAATTTTCAAATAAATCTGTCACTCCAATTTTTATTGTGAGATAAGACAAGTCATCAAAAGTTTCAAACAATTTACCAATGATATTTTGCCAATAACTCAAATTTATTTCCATGAACCAGTAACAAAACACCAAAATAATTCTCTAAAATTAGATATGACTTAACCACTCATAAATCTCTAAAATTAGATATGATTTTATATCTATCAATTAAACACATCACTTTTCAAAACAAATAACTCAAACTTATTTCCATAAACCAGTAAAAAACCAGCAAAATACTTCTCTAAAATCAGATATGATGTTATATATATTTCCATATCATAATCAAATTCAATTAATAGTTGCTAATATTGTTTCTTTCATGTGTCAAAAAATAATACAGATCTGCAACTTATCTATCAATGTCAAAAACTTTATCTCATAATAAAAATAGATTATTATCTAATTAATAACAAGTTCAGATTCAGCACTTGAAAGAACCCTATATATATTTAATTTATGTTCAAATATAACACACACAAACTGATTAATTTTCCCAGGGGACCTGCCCTTTATTTCATATGATTTGTTTTTTTGTCCCATACAAGGATATATATGGTTTAGGGGCGAGGATCTCGACCATTTACAAGTTCTTAAACAGGAAGAAGGTGGGAATGACCCCTTTTATTTCATTTCATTTGTTTTATTGTAACATACAAGATATATATGGTTTCGCGGTGTGGATCTTGACCGTTTACAAGTTTTCAAAACAAGAGGCTCTCAAGAGCCTGAATCACTCACCTGTATTTCAGAGGAGAAGATTTTTAAATGTTAGCAAACTTAATGAACAAATTGTGTAAAATTGTCTTTAAAGGGCAATAACTCCTTAAGGGGTCAATTGACAATTTTGGTCATATTAACTTCTTTGTAGATCTTACTTTGATGAACATTATTGCTGCTTACAGTTTACATATATCTATAGTCATATCCAAAATAATAACAAATAAAATGCTCCGTTGGGCGCAGCTTGATACGACCGCAGAGGTCGAACTCTGAACAGTTGGGGCAAGTATGGACACAACATTCAAGCTTGATACACACTGAATTTGGATTGTGATTAAATATTTGACACAGCATAGGTTTTTGACACAGAATGAATGTGGTCTAAGAACTTATAAATTTTTAATTTACCTATTCAAACCATATCATTATTATTTGCTTTTATATATAAATCAGAAATAACCAATTTAAAATGAAAAATTTTAAAGAAAAAAAAAGGAAAAAGAAATCCCTCCCCCCAAATTTTTTGAACCCCCTTATGATTCATCAACCCCAATCTCAATCCCAGCCTTCCCTTTGTGGTATGGTACCTTGCAGTAAAATTTCAGAGAGATCCATACACTTGAACACAAGTTATTGTCTGGAAACTAGAAAAATGCTTATTTTTGGCCCCTTATTCCTAAACGTTTTGGGCAATTTCCCCCAAACTCAATTCCAGCTTTCCCTTTGTGATATGGAACCTTGTAGTACAATTTCAGAGAGATCCATATACTTACACACAAGTTATTGTCATGAAACTAGAAAAATGCTTGTTTTTGGCCCCTAATTCCTAAAATTTTGAGACAATTACCCCCAAAATCAATCCCAGCATTCCCTTCTTGATATGGAACCTTGTGGTACAATGTCAGAGAGATCCATACACTAACACACAAGTAATGTCTGGAAGTTACAAAAATGCTTATTTTTGGCCCCTAATTCCTTAACTGTTGGTACCATAACCCTCAAAATCAATCCCAACCTTCCTTTTGTGGTATTGAACCTTATGGTAAAATTTCATAGAGATCCATTCACTTAAACTAAAGTTAGAGTGCGGAATCAATGTGTATTCGGACGACACTGACGACTACGCCAACGTCATACCAATATACGACCGCAAAATTTTTTAGCGGTCGTATAAAAACTGCAAAATTTTTTTAAAACTACCAATTCGGTGGCAGCAACCCAACAATGGGTTGTTCGATTTATCTGAAAATTTCAGGGCCAACAGATCTTGCACAATTAAACAATTTTACTCCATGTCACATTTGCTCTAAAAGATTTAGTTTTTGAGATATAAGCCAAAAACTGCATTTGACCCTTATGTTCTATTTTTAGCCATGGCGGCCATGTTTGTCGATGGATACAAACTTCGGATACAATTTATAAACAAGTTACCCTAAGGAACATTTAGTAAAAGTTTAAAGGTAATTGGCCTAGTAGTTTCAGAGCAGAAGATTTTTAAATGTTAGCAAACTTGATGAACAAATTGTGTAAAATTGTCTTTAAAGAGCAATAACTCCTAAAGGGCTCAATTGACAATTATGGTCATATTAACTTTTTTGTAGATCTTACTTTGCTGAACATTATTGCTGCTTAAAGTTTATATATATCTATAATAATATTCAAAATAATAACAAATAAAATGCTCCGCTGGGGCGCAGCTTGATACGATCGCAGAGGTCGAACCCTGAACAGTTGGGGCAAGTATGGACACAACATTCAAGCTTGATACAGCACTGAATTTGGATTGTAATTAAATATTTGACACAGCATAGGTTTCTCACACAGAATGAAAGTGGTCTAAGAACTTAAAAATTTTTAATTTACCTATTCAAACCATATCATTATTATTTGCTTTTATATATAAATCAGAAATAACCAATTTAAAATGGAAAATTTTAAAGAAAAAAAGGAAAAATAAATCCCCCCAATTTTTTGAACCCCCTTATGATTCATCATCCCCAAACTCAATCCCAGCTTTCCCTTTGTGGTATGGTACCTTGCAGTACAATTTCAGAGAGATCCATACACTTGAACACAAGTTATTGTCTGGAAACTAGAAAAATGCTTGTTTTTTGGCCCCTTTTTGGCCCCAAATTCCTAAACGTTTAGGGCAATTACCCCCAAACTCAAACCCAGCTTTCCCTTTGTGATATGGAACTTTGCAGTACAATTTAATAAAGATCCCTACACTTACACACAAGTTATTGTCCTGAAACTAGAAAAATGCTTGTTTTTTTGCCCTTTTATGGCCCCTATTTACTAAAATTTTGAAGGAATTACCCCCAAAATCAATCCCAGCCTTCCCTTTGTGGTATGGTATCTTGCAGTACAATTTCAGAGAGAATCATACATTTGAACACAAGTTATTGTCTGGGAACTAGAAAAATGCTTATTTTTGGCCCCTTTTTCCTAAACTTTTTTGGGCAATTACCCCAAAACTTAATTCCAGCTTTCCCTTTGTAATATGGAACCTTGTAGTACAATTTCATAAAGATCCATACACTAACACACAAGTTATTGTCATGAAACTAGAAAAATGCTTGTTTTTTGCCCCTTTTTGGCCCCTCATTCCTAAAATTTGGAAGCAATTACCCCCAAAATCAATCCCAGCATTCCCTTTGTGATATGGAACCTTGTGAATCAATGTCACAGAGATCCATACACTTGAACACAAGTTATTGTCATGAAACTAGAAAAATGCTTGTTTTTTGCCCCTTTTTGGCCCCTAATTCCTAAAATTTGGAGGCAATTACCCGCAAAATCAATCCCAGCATTCCCTTTGTGATATGGAACCTTGTGGTACAATGTCAGAGAGATCCATACACTTACCCACAAGTTATGTCTGGAGTTACAATAAAATGCTCTGCAGGGCGCAGCTTGATACGACCGCAGAGGTCGAACCCTGACCAGTTGGGGCAAGTATGGACACAACATTCAAGCTTGATACAGCTTTGCATTTGGATTGTGATTAAATATTTGACACAGCATAGGTTTCTGACACAGAATGAATGTGGTCTAAGAACCTAAAAAATATTAAATTGGACATTCACCTATTATGGTCCAATACCAAAAATCTAAATACATGGTTAGATTCAGCATATCAATGAACCCCAAGAATTCAATTTTTGATGAAATCAAACAAAGTTTAATTTTGGACCCTTTTGACCTCAATGTGGACAAAGTTGATAACGGGGCCCAAAAATCAAAAATCTAAATACATGTTTAGATTCAGCATATCAAAGAACCCTAAGAATTCAATTTTTGTTAAAATCAAACTAAGTTTAATTTTGGACCCTTTGGACCTTAATGTAGACCAATTTGAAAACGGAACCAAAAATTAAGAATCTAAATACACGGTTAGATTCGGCATATCAAAGAACCCCAATAATTCAATTTTTGATGAAATCAAACAAAGTTTAATTTTGGACCCTTTGGACCTCAATGTGGACCAATTTAAAAACAGGGCCCAAAATCCTAAAACTAAATACACGGTTAGATTCAGCATATTAAAGAACCCCAAGAACTCAAGAATAAAACCCCATTGAAATTGGTCAAGAAATAAGCAATTTATACGAAGTATCTTCTTTTGCACAATACTGTGCAATTGAATATTTCTTGCTATTGCGAAATACTGTACAATTGACAATTTCTTGCTATTGCGCAATATTGTGCTATTGGATATTTCTTGCTATTGCGCAATACTGTGCAATTGAAGATTTCTTGCTATTGCGCAATACTGTGCAATTGAAGATTTCTTGCTATTGTGCAATACTGTGCAATTGAAAATTTCTTGCTATTGCACAATACTTATTATATAATAATTTACACATCCTGTTTGGTGTGTATCTCCTACCATATCATTATTATTTGCTTTAAAATATAAATCAGAAATAACCAACTTAAAATGGAAAATTTTAAAAGAAAAAAAAAAGGAAAAAAATAAAAATCCCCCCCACCCAAATTTTTTGAACCCCCTTATGATTCATCACCCCTTAACTCAATCCCAGCCTTCCCTTTGTGGTATGGTACCTTGCAGTACAATTTCAGAGAGATCCATACACTTGAACACAAGTTATTGTCTGGAAACTAGAAAAATGCTTATTTTTGGCCCCTTTTTTGGCCCAAAATTCCTAAACGTTTCGGCAATTACCCCCAAACTCAAACCCAGCTTTCCCTTTGTGATATGGAACCTTGTAGTACAATTTCAGAAAGATCCATACACTTAAACACAAGTTATTGTCCTGAAACTAGAATAAAATGCTCCGCAGGGCGCAGCTTGATACGACCGCAGAGGTCGAACCCTGAACAGTTGGGGGAAGTATGGACACAACATTCAAGCTTGATACAGCTTTGGATTTGGATTGTGATTAAATATTTGACACAGCATAGGTTTCTAACACAGATTGAATGTGGTCTAAGAACTTAAAAATTTTAAATTGGACATTCACCTATTATGGTCCAATATCCAAAATCTAAATACATGGTTAGATTCAGCATATCAAAGAACCCCAAGAATTCAATTTTTGATGAAATCAAACAAAGTTTAATTTTGGACCCTTTTGACCTCAATGTGGACAAAGTTGATAACGGGGCCCAAAAATCAAAAATCTAAATACATGGTTAGATTCAGCATATCAAAGAACCCCATATATTCAATTTTTGTTGAAATCAAACAAAGTTTAATTTTGGACCCCGATTTGGACCAACTTGAAAACTGGGCCCATAATCAAAAATCTAAATACATGTTTAGATTCAGCATATCAAAGAACCCTAAGAATTCAATTTTTGTTAAAATCAAACTAAGTTTAATTTTGGACCCTTTGGACCTTAATGTAGACCAATTTGAAAACGGAACCAAAAATTAAGAATCTAAATACATGGTTAGATTCGGCATATCAAAGAACCCCAATAATTCAATTTTTGATGAAATCAAACAAAGTTTAATTTTGGACCCTTTTGACCTCAATGTGGACAAAGTTGATAACGGGGCCCAAAAATCAAAAATCTAAATACATGGTTAGATTCAGCATATCAAGGAACCCCATATATTCAATTTTTGTTGAAATCAAACAAAGTTTAATTTTGGACCCCGATTTGGACCAACTTGAAAACTGGGCCCATAATCAAAAATCTAAATACATGTTTAGATTCAGCATATCAAAGAACCCTAAGAATTCAATTTTTGTTAAAATCAAACTAAGTTTAATTTTGGACCCTTTGGACCTTAATGTAGACCAAATTGAAAACGGAACCAAAATTTAAGAATCTAAATATACAGTTAGATTCGGCATATCAAAGAACCCCAATAATTCAATTTTTGATGAAATCAAACAAAGTTTAATTTTGGACCCTTTGGACCTCAATGTGGACCAATTTAAAAACAGGGCCCAAAATCCAAAAACTAAATACACGGTTAGATTCAGCATATTAAAGAACCCCATGAAATCAAGAATAAAACCCCATTGAAATTGGTCAAGAAATAAGCAATTTATAGGAAGTATCTTCTTTTGCACAATCCTGTGCTATTAAATATTTCTTGCTATTGCGCAATACTGTACAATTGACAATTTCTTGCTATTGCGCAATATTGTGCTATTGGATATTTCTTGCTATTGCGCAATACTGTGCAATTGAAGATTTCTTGCTATTGCGCAATACTGTGCAATTGAAGATTTCTTGCTATTGTGCAATACTGTGCAATTGAAAATTTCTTGCTATTGCACAATACTTATTATATAATAATTTACACATCCTGTTTGGTGTGTATCTCCTACCATATCATTATTATTTGATTTTAAATATAAATCAGAAATAACCAACTTAAAATGGAAAATTTTAAAAGAAACAAAAAAGGAAAAAAAAGAAAAAAAAGGAAAAAAAAATAAATCCCCCCCCAAAATTTTTTGAACCCCCATTATGATTCATCACCCCCAAACTCAATCCCAGCCTTCCCTTTGTGGTATGGTACCTTGCAGTACAATTTCAGAGAGATCCATACACTTGAACGCAAGTTATTGTCTGGAAACTAGAAAAAAATGTGTTTTTTGGCCCCAAATTCCTAAACGTTTAGGGCAATTACCCCCAAACTCAAACCCAGCTTTCCCTTTGTGATATGGAACCTTGTAGTACAATTTCAGAAAGATCCATACACTTACACACAAGTTATTGTCATGAAACTAGAAAAATGCTTGTTTTTTGCCCCTTTTTTGGCCCCTAATTCCTAAAATTTGGAGGCAATTACCCCCAAAATCAATCCCAGCATTCCTTTAGTGATATGGAATCTTGTGGTACAATGTCAGAGAGATCCATACACTTACACACAAGTTATGTCTGGAAGTTACAAAAATGCTTATTTTTGGCCCCTTTTTGGCCCCTAATTCCTTTACTGTTATTACCATAACCCCCAAAATCAATCCCAACCTTCCTTTTGTGGTATTGAACCTTGTGGTAAAATTTCATAAAGATCCATTCACTTAAACTAAAGTTAGAGTGCGAAAACCAATGTGTCTTCGGACGACGGCAGACGACGACGACGACGCCGGACGACGACGACGCCAACGTCATACCAATATACGACCACAAAAATTTTTTTGCGGTCGTATAAAAATGCTTGTTTTTTTGCCCTTTTATGGCCCCTATTTACTAAAATTTTGAAGGAATTACCCGCAAAATCAATCCCAGCCTTCCCTTTGTGGTATGGTACCTTGCAGTACAATTTCAGAGAGATCCATACACTTGAACACAAGTTATTGTCTGGAAACTAGAAAAATGCTTATTTTTGGCCCCTTATTTGGCCCCCAATTCCTAAACGTTTCGGCAATTACCTCCAAACTCAATTCCAGCTTTCCCTTTGTGATATGGAACCTTGTAGTACAATTTCAGAAAGATCCATACACTTACACACAAGTTATTGTCATGAAACTAGAAAAATGCTTGTTTTTTGCCCCTTTTTTGGCCCGTAATTCCTAAAATTTTGAGGCAATTACCCCCAAAATCAATCCCAGCATTCCTTTTGTGATATGGAACCTTGTGGTACAATGTCAGAGATATCCATACACTAACACACAAGTTATGTCTGGAAGTTACAAAAATGCTTATTTTTGGCCCTTAATTCCTTTACTGTTGGTACCATAACCCCCAAAATCAATCCCAACCTTCCTTTTGTGGTATTGAACCTTGTGGTAAAATTTCATAGAGATCCATTCACTTAAACTAAAGTTAGAGTGCGAAAACCAATGTGTCTTCGGACGACGCCGGGACGACAACAACGACGACGACGAAGACGCCAACGTCATACCATTATACGACCACAAAAATTTTTTTGCGGTCGTATAAAAATGCTTATTTTTGGCCCCTAATTCCTTAACTGTGGGTACCATAACCCCCAAAATCAATCCCCACCTTCCTTTTGTGGTATTGAACCTTATGGTAAAATTTCATAGAGATCCATTCACTTAAACTAAAGTTAGAGTGTGAAAACTAATGTGTCTTCGGACGACGACGATGACGACGTCATACCAATATACGTCCACAAAATTTTTTTTGCGGTCGTATAAAAACTGCAAAATTTTTTTAAAACTACCAATTCGGTGGCAGCAACCCAACAATGGGTTGTTCAATTCGTCTGAAAATTTCAGGGCCGATAGATCTTGACCAATTAAACAATTTTACCCCCATGTCACATTTGCTCTAAAAGATTTGGTTTTTGAGATATAAGCCAAAAACTGCATTTGACCCTTATGTTCTATTTTTAGCCATGGCGGCCATGTTTGTCGATGGATACAAACTTCGGATACAATTTATAATTAAGATACCCTAAGGAACATTTAGTTAAAGTTTGAAGGTAATTGGCCCAGTAGTTTCAGAGGAGAAGATTTTTAAATGTTAGCAAACTTGATGAACAAATTGTGTAAAATTGTCTTTAAAGGGCAATAACTCCTTAAGGGCTCAATTGACAATTATGGTCATATTAACTTTTTTGTAGTGTGAAAACTAATGTGTCTTCGGACAACGACGATGACGACGTCATACCAATATACGTCCACAAAATTTTTTTTGCGGTCGTATAAAAACTGCAAAATTTTTTTAAAACTACCAATTCGGTGGCAGCAACACAAAAATGGGTTGTTCGATTTGTCTGAAAATTTCAGAGCTGATAGATCTTGACCAATTGAACAATTTTACCCCCATGTCAGATTTGCTCTAAAAGCCTAAGTTTTTGAGATATAAGCCAAAAACTGCATTTGACCCCTATGTTCTATTTTTAGCCATGGCGGCCATGTTTGTCGGTGGATCAAAACTTCGGATACAATTTATAAACTAGATACCCTAAGGAACATTTAGTTAAAGTTTGAAGGTATTTGGCCCAGTAGTTTCAGATGAGAAGATTTTTGAAATAGTTTACAACGACAGACGACAGACGCCAAGTGATGGCATAAGATCACATGGGGCCCGAAGGGCCCCGGTGAGCTAAACTAGAGGCAGGTCAGGTCGGGCCAGGTGAGCTAAAAAGGAGAGTAGGGGTTACCCCAGGGGACTTCCCCTAAATTTAATTTGCTTTATTTTATTGTCCCTGTAAAATATATATGGTTTAGGGGTGGGGATCTGAACCGTTTACAAGTTTTCAAAAAGAAAGGGGTAGGGTTTACCCCCGTGGACTTCCCTTATATTTCATTTGATTTGATATATTGTCCCATACAAGAATATATATGGTTTCTGGGTTGGAATCTTGACTGTTTACAAGTTATCAAAAAAAAGGGGGTAGGGGTTACCCCAATGGACTTCCCCTATATTTCATTTGATTAGTTTTATTGTCCCATACAAGAATATATATGGTTTAGGGGTGGGGATCTCGACCGTTTACAAGTTCTTAAACAGAAAGAAGGTGGGGATGACCCCAGGGGACTTGACTTTTGTTTCCTTTGATTTGTTTTATTGTAACATACAAGAATATATATGGTTTCAGGGTGGGGATCTTGACTGTTTACAAGTTTTCAAAACTAGAGGCTCTAAAGAGCCTGTGTCGCTCACCTTGGTATATGTGCATATTAAACAAAGGACAAAGATGGATTCATGACAAAATTGTGTTTTGGTGATGGTGATGTGTTTGTAGATCTTACTTTACTGAACTTTCTTGCTGCTTACAATTATCTCTATCTATAATGAACTTGGCCCAGTAGTTACAGTGGAAAATATTTTGTAAAAAATTTACAAAAATTTACAAAATTTATGAAAAAATTGTAAAAAATTGACTATAAAGGGCAATAACTCCTTAAGGGGTCAATTGACAATTTTGGTCATGTTGACTTATTTGTAGTTCTTACTTTGCTGTACATTATTGCTGTTAACAGTTCTATAATCTATAATAAAATTCAAGATAATAACCAAAAGCTGCAAAATTTTCTTAAAATTACCAATTCAGGGGCAGCAACCCAACAACGTGTTGCCTGATTGGTCTGAAAATTTCAGGGCAGATAGATCTTGACCTGATAATCAGTTTTACCCTATGTCAGATTACTCTTAATGCTTTGGTTTCAGAGATATAAGCCAAAATCTACATTTTACCCCTATGTTCTATTTTTAGCCATGTCGGCCATCTTGGTTCGCGGGCGGGGTCATGGGACACATTTTTTAAACAAGATACCCTAATGATGATTGTGGACAAGTTTGGTTAAATTTGTCTTAGTAGTTTCAGAGGAGAAGATTTTTGTAAAAGATTACAAAAATTTACGAAAAATGGTTAAAAATTGACTATAAAGGGCAATAACTCCTTAAGGGGTCAACTGACCATTTTGGTCAAGTTGACTTAATTGTAGATCTTACTTTGCTGAACATTATTGCTGTATACAGTTTATCTCTATCTATAATAATATTCAAGATAATAACCAAAAATTCGTAAGGGTTCCGCGGAACCGAGTGTCTCACCTACTTTTTCTGTTAATCGCAGGCTCAACAAAAATGAGGAAGTAAATCAATAAAAATATTTCACTTGATACTATCTTTTGATTGTAAGAAGCTTCTGTCCAAGTTTGGTAAAAATCCAGGATAGTTTATGAATCTAATAAATGTTTAAAAACTTTAACTGCAGACTGAATGTAATGTTAACTGGAAGAAAACAAAATTTCCTTCTAGATACTAGTATTTGATCATAAACAAGCTTCTGTCCAAGTTTGGTACAAATCCAAAATAGTATAAGAAAGTTATTAAAATTTTAAAAACTTTAACCACAGAGTGAATGTGTTTTTTCCTTGCAGAAAATCCAAGTCCATTTAAAAGTAAAATACAGAAAAAATGGATTTATTTTTTTACAAAATTTTCTTCTAGATTCTAGCTTTTGATAATAAACAAGCTTCTGTCCAAGTTTGGTACAAATCCAAAATAGTTTAAGAAAGTTATTAAAATTTTAAAAACTTTAACCACAGAGTGAATGTGTTGTTTCCTGGCAGAAAATCTAAGTCCATTTAAAAATAAAATAAGGAAAAAATGGATTTATTTTTTTTACAAAATTTACTCCTGGATACTATCTTATGATCATAAACAAGCTTCTGTCCAAGTTTGGTACAAACCCAGGATAGTTTAAGAAAGTTATTCAAATTTTAAAAACTTTAACCACAGAGTGAATGTAAAATTTCCCGGCAGAAAAACTAAGTCCATTTATAAGTAAAATACAGAAAAAATGGAATTTTATTTTTACAAAATTTACTTCTGGATACTATCTTATGATCATAAACAAGCTTCTGTCCAAGTTTGGTAGAAATCCTGGATAGTTTAAGAAAGTTATTAAAATTTTAAAAACTTTAACCACAGAGTGAATATTTGTGGACGCCGCCGACGACAACGACGACGACGACGCCGACGGAATGTAGGATCGCTATGTCTCGCTTTTTCGACTAAAGTCGAAGGCTCGGCAAAAACGGCAAAATTTCCTTAAAATTACCAATTCAGGGGCAGCAACCCAACAACGGGTTGTCCAATTCATCTGAAAATTTCAGGGCAGATAGATCTTGACCTGATAAACAATTTTACCCTATGTCAGATTTGCTCTAAATGCTTTGGTTTCAGAGATATGAGCCAAAAACTGCATTTTACCCTATGTACTATTTTTTAGCCATGTCGGCCATCTTGGTTCGCGGGCGGGGTCATCGGACACATTTTTTAAACGAGATACCCTAATGATGATTGTGGACAAGTTTGGTTAAATTTGTCTTAGTAGTTTCAGAGGAGAAGATTTTTGTAAAAGATTACAAAAATTTACGAAAAATGGTTAAAAATTGACTATAAAGGGCAATAACTCCTTAAGGGGTCAACTGACCATTTTGGTCAAGTTGACTTAATTGTAGATCTTACTTTGCTGAACATTATTGCTGTATACAGTTTATCTCTATCTATAATAATATTCAAGATAATAACCAAAAACGGCAAAATTTCCTTAAAATTACCAATTCAGGGGCAGCAACCCAACAACTGGTTGACCAATTCATCTGAAAATTTCAGGGCAGATAGATCTTGACCTGATAAACAATTATACAGTATGTCAGATTTGCTCTAAATGCTTTGGTTTCAGAGATATAAGCCAAAAACTGCATTTTACCCTATGTACTATTTTTTAGCCATGTCAGCCATCTTGGTTCGCGGGCGGGGTCATCGGACACATTTTTAAAACTAGATACCCTAATGATGATTGTGGACAAGTTTGGTTAAATTTGTCTTAGTAGTTTCAGAGGAGAAGATTTTTGTAAAAGATTACAAAAATTTACGAAAAATGGTTAAAAATTGACTATAAAGGGCAATAACTCCTTAAGGGGTCAACTGACCATTTTGGTCAAGTTGACTTAATTGTAGATCTTACTTTGCTGAACATTATTGCTGTATACAGTTTATCTCTATCTATAATAATATTCAAGATAATAACCAAAAACAGCAAAATTTCCTTAAAATTACCAATTCAGGGGCAGCAACCCAACAACGGGTTGTCAGATTCATCTGAAAATTTCAGGGCAGATAGATCTTGACCTGATAAACAATTTTGCCCTATGTCAGATTTGCTCTAAATGCTTTGGTTTCAGAGATATAAGCCAAAAACTGCATTTTACCCTATGTACTATTTTTTAGCCATGTCAGCCATCTTGGTTCGCGGGCGGGGTCATCGGACACATTTTTTAAACGAGATACCCTAATGATGATTGTGGACAAGTTTGGTTAAATTTGTCTTAGTAGTTTCAGAGGAGAAGATTTTTGTAAAAGATTACAAAAATTTACGAAAAATGGTTAAAAATTGACTATAAAGGGCAATAACTCCTTAAGGGGTCAACTGACCATTTTGGTCAAGTTGACTTAATTGTAGATCTTACTTTGCTGAACATTATTGCTGTATACAGTTTATCTCTATCTATAATAATATTCAAGATAATAACCAAAAACAGCAAAATTTCCTTAAAATTACCAATTCAGGGGCAGCAACCCAACAACGGGTTGTCAGATTCATCTGAAAATTTCAGGGCAGATAGATCTTGACCTGATAAACAATTTTGCCCTATGTCAGATTTGCTCTAAATGCTTTGGTTTCAGAGATATAAGCCAAAATCTACATTTTACCCCTATGTTCTATTTTTAGCCATGGCGGCCATCTTGGTTGGTTCGCCAGGTCATCGGACACATTTTTTAAACTAGATACTTGAATGATGATTGTGGCAAAGTTTGGGTGCATTTGGCCCAGTAGTTTCAGAGGAGAAGATTTTTGTAAAAGTTTACGGACGACTGACGACGGACGCCAAGTGATGAGAAAAGCTCACTTGACCTTTCAGGTCAGGTGAGCTAAAAAAAGGGGTGGGGGTTATCCCAGGGGACTTCCCCTAAATTTCAATTGATTTGTTTTATTGTCCCATACAAGAATATATATGGTTTAGAGGTGGGGATCTTAACCTTTTACAAGTTTTCCAAAACATTTTTTTTTTTCTTTTTTTCTTTTTCTTTTTTTTTTTTTTAAATTCTCTATAATTTATTTGAAATGTAAAATATTTATAATATCTAATTGAACAGAACTATGATTGTTTAACATAGTACTCTAATATAATTAATAATGTAATAATCTTCAAAATGTCTAATGATATAGCTTATAATCATTACCACTTAGGAAATAGATAATTTTCAAATAAATCTGTCACTCCAATTTTTATTCTGAGATAAGACAAATCATAACAACAGTAAAATATTTAAAAATTCTACTTTTGGATATTAAAAATGGCGATAACTCACAAAGGAGATATACTAAAATCTTGAAAATTAATAGAGACCTTCATTAAGTCCCAGGAAACAACATTTAAATTTGAAAAAAAATTGTTAAAGAGTTTTCATGTTATTGTGCTGACACTGTTTGGCAGCCGCCTGTAGAACCGCCCAGCCGCCCGCCGTATATCACCATTCTAATAACAGATATTTCCTTCGAAAATCCGGTTAAAAATGATTTATTTTCTTAAATTTAACTTGAAATACTACAGAAAACTAGCTCTACAGAAGAATAATGTCAAGAAATTTGAAATATTTGTTGCACACCAATAATTAGGCTTTTGGCATCCATTTCAATATCATATATACAATTATAAATAAATATTTAATAATGTTAAATAGTAATATTTGTTTTCCCTGGGAAATAATATAACAATGTATATTAGGTCCTAGGTTTACTGAAAAATAAATAATTACCCATAATATATGGTTCTTGACTGATGGTTAAATAAAATAAGACAAATTTGCCACTTAACCATTTATAACATTATATTTATATCAACTTTATTTATTTTCTTATCAAATTGTGTATTAACGATGCTGAAATATGTATTTTCAAAAACATAATAACAAATTTCAACAGGGTAAACACTTGGCTTAAATATATACATAAACACAATTACAGAGTTACTATTATTGATACCTTTAAACAATGACCAGGATTGTGAAATGCTCGTACAAAAAAAAGACAAAAACAAATGTACCAAAGAATTAAAATTGACGTGATTTTTTCATATGTTCTTGAATGTTTTTTTGATATTTTGGGGGTATATCTATGGACTCACATAAATTTGAACTTGTTTCAATTGTTTTATTTGATGTTGTTGCAGATGCATGCACATCCTACTTACACAAATATTTGCATATCAGGATCCAACAAAATATCATGTTTAATATAGATATACGAACCATCTTTGAAGAATTTCGGTATAAAGAAGCCTGGCAGGGTCAAAATGTTCTAAATTCAATGGAGCACTACTCTTAAACAAGAGTGTACAGGCTGAAATGCCTGATTTAAATTTACTAATCATGATTGATTTTATGTTGACAGTCCTAAAGATACAATTTTACTACAAGTATCACATAAACTTAACATTATCATTGATCCATGAAAATGAGGTCAAGGTCAGATAAACCAAGCAAGACAGACATGTACACCTTACAATCATTCCATACACCAAATACAGTTGACTTATTGATTATAGTATACATAGACCAAACCATGAAATCGTAATATTGACCAATGGACCATGAAAATGAGGTCAAGGTCTGATAACCCTGCAAGACAGACATGTACACCTTACAATTATTCCATGCAAACTTTATTCTAGAACCCCCAGGGTTAATCATGACAAGTTTTATTTAAAATATTTCAATATCTATAGAGAAGGCCTTTGAAGGACAGAATAAAGTTATCTAAAGCATGTTGAAAATCATTTTTTCTATATTAGATAATGTTATTCAATTAGGAGCTGACTTAAGCTTGCAGTTTGTACCAGTTTTTGTTAACAGCTGAATTTTCTATCAGCAGCATTTCAGTATGACCTTCTCGGTAGTTTTCATCATGTTAATCTTGTTGGTCTCATGAATGTCTACATCATATCTTAAATTTTTCTGATATACACTTACATGGCTTCACCATAGTTTTATTGTTCTGTATTTGTAATGAATTGAAGAAGATCTTAATAAACCAAGGTATTGTTTCCATATAGATTACTGTCATATTTACTGGCAAGTTATTATAAATCTGACAGGTTATTCCTCCTCTCTGTAGTCCAAAACCTGAAATGAATAGTAATAGTAACTGTACAGTAATCTTACAACCATTCCGTGTTATCCCTAAGCACATATTGTCATGAAAAGCATACCCCAACTCCTAATTCAAAGTATCAGGAAATAGGGAGTAGATGTGATCATGTCTATCAGAATCAACAGATAAGCATTTATTCATTACATTTCATCTCTTTCAAGCTGCAGACCAGTTGTGAAGTCATTATGTTCAGTAGCTAGTACCTGAGAAAAAGTGACAAAAATATTTGTTGCACAAACTAATGGAATAACTGACATACAAGTTGATTGATTGCAATATGGTAACTTTGGTAGTAAATGCAAATGTTGAAATAATAAAGCTGGAAAGTGTCCATGGGACATAGATGATGCCCCCCCTTGCATATAACTTTATGAAGGGGCATAACTCTAGAAAGGTAAAAGTGACGCCACCAAAATTCAAGCTTGATCTGTGTTTAGTGGTAATAAGCATTGTGTATAAGTTTCATAACATTTGGTTGAGGCAAACTAAAGTTAGAGAACGGAAACCAATTTGGAACGTACGGACGGACGGACGTACAGACGGACAAGGGTAAAACTCAATGGCCCCGCCACTATGGCGGGGGCATAAAAATAGCTATACTTTAACATATAAAGTTTGCAAATATTTAAAGTCAATAAAACCATGAATGAAGGTACAGGGCCAAATTATCTCTGTGGAAATAAGAAATTCTCAATAATCTTCATGGAAATGAGATGTGTCAATGCTTATACAACTGCCATTGTCGGAAAAAGCATACCTAAGTCTCTGTCTAGGTGAGACAAAAATTATTAACAAAGTTGAAGAAGTATTCCATCATAAAAATAAATATTTTCTTTTATTCCTTATATATTATGGATTATAAAAAACTATAGAGCTCGCCCTGGGGATTTTTTTATGTTATAGATATCTTTTATAAACTAAAGTGCACATGCTGAAATGGGTCGTCTGCTTTACTGATCATGATTGAATTTATGTTGAAAGTCTTTAGGATATAGGTTTGACTATAAGTATCACATTAACTTAATATTATCAAAGATTCATGTTAAATAGGTCAAGGTCACACAAGCACTACAAAAAAGACAGATACACCTTACAATCATTCAATACACTTACTATAGTTGACCTTTTAGTATCTGAGAAACAGATGAAACTATGAAACCTAACTGTGACTTTGAGATGTAGAACAGCAATAAAAGTGCTGTTCCTTTGCTTTTTGTGTTTTTTGCTGTGCATGTACTGATTTTGTGTCATGCATGGATTCCCCATATCCTTTCTTTTCTATTCAGCACAAAAAAAAATAAACCATGAAAATGAGGGAGAGCTGTATGACTCTGTCAGATGGACATGTGCACCCTACAATCATTTCATACACCAAATATAGTTGACCTACTGCTTATAGTGCCCGTAAAACAGACCTTACCATGAAAATAAGGTTATAACACATGAGATGAAACCTGTCAGACAGACATACACACTTTACAATCCTTCCATACACCAAATATAAATGACATATAGTTTATAGTATCTAAGAAACAGACTAAACCACAAACATTCAACCTTGATCACTGATCTGTGAAAACATAGGCGGATCCAGGGGGGTCCTGGCCCCCCCTTTTTTGCAAAAATTTGGTTGATTATATAGGGAATCACTGAAGCATGAATGTAGCAGGCCCCTCTTATGGCAGTCAGTGCCCCCCCCCCCCCCCCCCCTTATAAAAAGTTCTGGATCCGCCACTGGAAACTGTGATCATGGACAAATGAAACCTGCCAAACATTCTTACATTCATTCCATACACCTAATATAGTAGTTCTATTGCTTATTGTATTTGAGAAACAGACCAAACTATGAAAGCTTAACATTGAAATATGACCCTTGAAAAAGAGGTCAAGGTCAGATGAACTCTGCTGGACAGACATGTTCACCTTGCAATCATTAACTACATCCAATATCATTGACCGATTGCTTATAGTTTTTGAGGAACCCTTGACCATAAAAAATTAGCATTATCCAATGAACCATGAAAATAAGGTTAGATCTTTGTAACTTAAGGTAACCGTATATAAGGTATGAATCATCAATGGTTCTGATATATAGAGCTTTATACTAATAGTTAACGCTGATATCACCAGATTAGCAACTGACTGCGACTTTTTTGTATGTGAGACAAAAATCATTTAAGCCCCTCTCTCTTAAAAGAGAAAAATGTGCTTTGCCGAACCCAGCTGGATATGACAGCAGAGGTCCAACCCTGAACAGTTGGGGCAAAAATGGACACACTATTCAAGCTTGATACAGGTCTGAATTTGGATTGTAATTAAATATTTGACACATTATAGGTTTCTGACACAGAATAAATGTAGTCAAAGAACTTGAAATTGGTTATATTTGAATTTATATTCAATTGAAGATTTCTTGCTGTTGTGCAATACACTGTGCTGTTGTTCAATACTTAGTAAATCTGTTTTCAGACTATATACAAAGAATTAGCAAAATAAATTGTGACCACCAATTTTTTTTTTGGAAAATTGATAATTTCTTAAATCTTGAGGAAAAAAAAATTGGCCCCCCCCAAAACTAGAGGCTCTAAAGAGCCTGTGTCGCTCACCTTGGTCTATGTGCATATTAAACAAAGGACACAGATGGATTCATGACAAAATTGTGTTTTGGTGATGGTGATGTGTTTGTAGATCTTACTTTACTGAACATTCTTGCTCCTTACTATTATCTCTATCCATAATGAACTTGGCACGGTAGTTACAGTGGAAAATACTTTGTAAAAATTTACAAAAATTTACAAAATTTATGAAAAAATTGTAAAAAATTGACTATAAAGGGCAATAACTCCTTTAGGGGTCAATTGACAATTTTGGTCATGTTGCCTTATTTGTAGATCTAACTTTGCTGTACATTATTGCTGTTTACAGTTTATCTCTATCTATAATAATATTCAAGATAATAACCAAAAGCTGCAAAATTTTCTTAAAATTACCAATTCAGGGGCAGCAACCCAACAACGTGTTGCCTGATTGGTCTGAAAATTTCAGGGCAGATAGATCTTGACCTAATGAACAATTTTATCCTCATCAGATTTGCTCTAAATGCTTTGATTTCAGAGATATGAGCCAAAAACTGCATTTTACCCTATGTACTATTTTTCAGCCATGTCGGCCATCTTGGTTCGCGGGCGGGGTCATCGGACACATTTTTTACACTAGATACCCTAATGATGATTGTGGACAAGTTTGGTTAAATTTGTCTTAGTAGTTTCAGAGGAGAAGATTTTTGTAAAAAATTACAAAAATTTACGAAAAATGGTTAAAAATTGACTATAAAGGGCAATAACTCCTTAAGGGGTCAACTGACCATTTTGGTCAAGTTGACTTATTTGTAGATCTTACTTTGCTGAACATTATTGCTGTTTACAGTTTATCTCTATCTATAATAATATTCAAGATAATAACCAATAAAATGCTCCGCAGGGCGCAGCTTGATACGACCGCAGAGGTTGAACCCTGAACAGTTGGGGGAAGTATGGACACAACATTCAAGCTTGATACAGCTTTGGATTTGGATTGTGATTAAACATTTGACACAGCATAGGTTTCTAACACAGATTGAATGTGGTCTAAGAACTTAAAAATTTTAAATTGGACATTCACCTATTATGGTCCAATATCCAAAATCTAAATACATGGTTAGATTCAGCATATCAAAGAACCGCAAGAATTCAATTTTTGATGAAATCAAACAAAGTTTAATTTTGGACCCTTTTGACCTCAATGTGGACAAAGTTGATAACGGGGCCCAAAAAAAAAAAAATCTAAATACATGGTTAGATTCAGCATATCAAAGAACCCCATATATTCAATTTTTGTTGAAATCAAACAAAGTTTAATTTTGGACCCCGATTTGGACCAACTTGAAAACTTGGCCCATAATCAAAAATCTAAATACATGTTTAGATTCAGCATATCAAAGAACCCTAAGAATTCAATTTTTGTTAAAATCAAACTAAGTTTAATTTTGGACCCTTTGGACCTTAATGTAGACCAATTTGAAAACGGAACCAAAAATTAAGAATCTAAATACACGGTTAGATTCGGCATATCAAAGAACCCCAATAATTCAATTTTTGATGAAATCAAACAAAGTTTAATTTTGGACCCTTTTGACCTCAATGTGGACAAAGTTGATAACGGGGCCCAAAAATAAAAAATCTAAATACATGGTTAGATTCAGCATATCAAAGAACCCCATATATTCAATTTTTGTTGAAATCAAACAAAGTTTAATTTTGGACCCCGATTTGGACCAACTTGAAAACTGGGCCCATAATCAAAAATCTAAATACATGTTTAGATTCAGCATATCAAAGAACCCTAAGAATTCAATTTTTGTTAAAATCAAACTAAGTTTAATTTTGGACCCTTTGGACCTTAATGTAGACCAATTTGAAAACGGAACCAAAAATTAAGAATCTAAATACACGGTTAGATTCGGCATATCAAAGAACCCCAATAATTCAATTTTTGATGAAATCAAACAAAGTTTAATTTTGGACCCTTTTGACCTCAATGTGGACAAAGTTGATAACGGGGCCCAAAAATAAAAAATCTAAATACATGGTTAGATTCAGCATATCAAAGAACCCCATATATTCAATTTTTGTTGAAATCAAACAAAGTTTAATTTTGGACCCCGATTTGGACCAACTTGAAAACTGGGCCCATAATCAAAAATCTAAATACATGTTTAGATTCAGCATATCAAAGAACCCTAAGAATTCAATTTTTGTTAAAATCATACTAAGTTTAATTTTGGACCCTTTGGACCTTAATGTAGACCAATTTGAAAACGGAACCAAAATTTAAGAATCTAAATACACAGTTAGATTCGGCATATCAAAGAACCCCAATAATTCAATTTTTGATGAAATCAAACAAAGTTTAATTTTGGACCCTTTTGACCTCAATGTGGACAAAGTTGATAACGGGGCCCAAAAATAAAAAATCTAAATACATGGTTAGATTCAGCATATCAAAGAACCCCATATATTCAATTTTTGTTGAAATCAAACAAAGTTTAATTTTGGACCCCGATTTGGACCAACTTGAAAACTTGGCCCATAATCAAAAATCTAAATACATGTTTAGATTCAGCATATCAAAGAACCCTAAGAATTCAATTTTTGTTAAAATCAAACTAAGTTTAATTTTGGACCCTTTGGACCTTAATGTAGACCAATTTGAAAACGGAACCAAAAATTAAGAATCTAAATACACGGTTAGATTCGGCATATCAAAGAACCCCAATAATTCAATTTTTGATGAAATCAAACAAAGTTTAATTTTGGACCCTTTTGACCTCAATGTGGACAAAGTTGATAACGGGGCCCAAAAATAAAAAATCTAAATACATGGTTAGATTCAGCATATCAAAGAACCCCATATATTCAATTTTTGTTGAAATCAAACAAAGTTTAATTTTGGACCCCGATTTGGACCAACTTGAAAACTGGGCCCATAATCAAAAATCTAAATACATGTTTAGATGCAGCATATCAAAGAACCCTAAGAATTCAATTTTTGTTAAAATCATACTAAGTTTAATTTTGGACCCTTTGGACCTTAATGTAGACCAATTTGAAAACGGAACCAAAATTTAAGAATCTAAATACACAGTTAGATTCGGCATATCAAAGAACCCCAATAATTCAATTTTTGATGAAATCAAACAAAGTTTAATTTTGGACCCTTTTGACCTCAATGTGGACAAAGTTGATAACGGGGCCCAAAAATAAAAAATTCGTAAGGGTTCCGCGGAACCCAGTGTCTCGCCTACTTTTTCTGTTAATCGCAGACTCAACAAAAATGAGGAAGTAAATCAATAAAAATATTCCTCTTGATACTATCTTTTGATTGTAAGAAGCTTCTGTCCAAGTTTGGTAAAATTCCAGGATAGTTTATGATTTAAAATAACTGTTTAAAAACTTGAACTGCAGACTGAATGTAATGTTAACTGGAAGAAAACAAAATTTCCTTCTAGATTCTAGCATTTGATCATAAACAAGCTTCTGTCCAAGTTTGGTACAAATCCAAAATAGTATAAGAAAGTTATTAAAATTTTAAAACCTTTAACCACAGAGTGAATGTGTTGTTTCCTGGCAGAAAATCTAAGTCCATTTAAAAGTAAAATACAGAAACAAGAGTGGACACGCTGAAATGTCTCGCCTTCTTTACTAACCATTGATATTATGTTGATAGTCCTAAATGAAAGCTACAACTATTACATAAACTTAACATGATCCAAGAAAATGAAGTCAAGGTCATATAAACCAAACAAGAAATACATGTACACCTTACAATCATTCAATACACTAAATATAGTTGACCTATTGCTTATAGTTTCTAAGAAACAGACTTAACCAAGAAAACTAAACATTGACCAATGAATCGTGAAAATGAGGTCAAAGTCAGATGAACCATGCCAGGCAGACATGAACAGCTTACAATCCTTCCATACAACAAATATAGCTGACCTATTGCTTATAGTTTAAGAAAAACAGACTGAAACACATAAACTTAACACTGAGCAATGAACTGTGAAAATGAGGTCAAGGTCAAATAAAACCTGCGAGACTGACATGTACATCATGGAATATTTCCATACACCAAATATAGTTGACTTATTGCATAATAGTATAAGAAAAAAGACCAAAACTCAAAAACTTAACTTTGACCACTGAACCATGAAAATGAGGTCAAAGTCAGATGACACCTGCCAGTTGGACATGTACACCTTACAATCATTCCATACACCAAATATAGTAGACCTATTGGATAAAGTATAAGAAAAACGGACCAAAACACAAAAACTTAACTATAACCACTGAACCATGAAAATGAGGTCAAGGTCAGATGACACCTGCCAGTTGGACATGTACACCTTACAGTCCTTCCATACACCAAATATACTAGACCTATTGCTTATAGTATCTGAGATATGGACTTGACCACCAAAACTTAACCTTGTTCACTGATCCATGAAATGAGGTCGAGGTCAAGTGAAAACTGTCTGACAGGCATGAGGACCTTGCAAGGTACGCACATACTAAATATAGTTATCCTATTACTTATAATAAGAGAGAATTTAACATTACAAATAATCTGAACTTTTTTTTCAAGTAGTCACTGAACCATGAAAATGAGGTCAAGGATATTGGACATGTGACTGACGGAAACTTCGTAACATGAGGCATCCATATACAAAGTATGAAGCATCCAGGTCTTCCACCTTCTAAAATATAAAGCTTTTAAGAAGTTAGCTAACGCCGCCGCCGCCGCCGCCGCCGCCGGATCGCTATCCCTATGTCGAGCTTTCTGCGACAAAAGTCGCAGGCTCGACAAAAATGGATTTATTTTTTTACAAAATTTACTTCTAGATACTATCTTATGATCATAAACAAGCTTCTGTCCAAGTTTGGTACAAACCCAGGATAGTTTAAGAAAGTTATTAAAATTTAAAAAACTTTAACCACAGAGTGAATGTAATATTTACCGGCAGAAAAACTAAGTCCATTTATAAGTAAAATACGGAAAAAATGGAATTTTATTTTTACAAAATTTACTTCTGGATACTATTTTATGATCATAAACAAGCTTCTGTCCAAGTTTGGTAGAAATCCAGGATAGTTTAAGAAAGTTATTAAAATTTCAAAAACTTTAACCACAGAGTGAATATTTGTGGACGCCGCCGACGACAACGACGACGCCGACGGAATGTAGGATCGCTATGTCTCGCTTTTTCGACTAAAGTCGAAGGCTCGACAAAAATCTAAATACATGGTTAGATTCAGCATATCAAAGAACCCCATATATTCAATTTTTGTTGAAATCAAACAAAGTTTAATTTTGGACCCCGATTTGGACCAACTTGAAAACTGGGCCCATAATCAAAAATCTAAATACATGTTTAGATTCAGCATATCAAAGAACCCTAAGAATTCAATTTTTGTTAAAATCATACTAAGTTTAATTTTGGACCCTTTGGACCTTAATGTAGACCAATTTGAAAACGGAACCAAAATTTAAGAATCTAAATACACAGTTAGATTCGGCATATCAAAGAACCCTAATAATTCAATTTTTGATGAAATCAAACAAAGTTTAATTTTGGACCCTTTTGACCTCAATGTGGACAAAGTTGATAACGGGGCCCAAAAATAAAAAATTCGTAAGGGTTTCCGCGGAACCCAGTGTCTCGCCTACTTTTTCTGTTAATCGCAGACTCAACAAAAATGAGGAAGTAAATCAATAAAAATATTCCTCTTGATACTATCTTTTGATTGTAAGAAGCTTCTGTCCAAGTTTGGTAAAATTCCAGGATAGTTTATGATTTAAAATAACTGTTTAAAAACTTGAACTGCAGACTGAATGTAATGTTAACTGGAAGAAAACAAAATTTCCTTCTAGATTCTAGCATTTGATCATAAACAAGCTTCTGTCCAAGTTTGGTACAAATCCAAAATAGTATAAGAAAGTTATTAAAATTTTAAAAACTTTAACCACTGAGTGAATATGTTGTTTCCTGGCAGAAAATCTAAGTCCATTTAAAAGTAAAATACGGAAAAAATGGATTTATTTTTTTACAAAATTTCCTTCTAGATACTAGCTTTTGATCATAAACAAGCTTCTGTCCAAGTTTGGTACAAATCCAAAATAGTATAAGAAAGTTATTAAAATTTTAAAACCTTTAACCACAGAGTGAATGTGTTGTTTCCTGGCAGAAAATCTAAGTCCATTTAAAAGTAAAATACAGAAAAAATGGATTTATTTTTTTTACAAAATTTACTTCTAGATACTATCTTATGATCATAAACAAGCTTCTGTCCAAGTTTGGTACAAACCCAGGATAGTTTAAGAAAGTTATTAAAATTTAAAAAACTTTAACCACAGAGTGAATGTAATATTTACCGGCAGAAAAACTAAGTCCATTTATAAGTAAAATACGGAAAAAATGGAATTTTATTTTTACAAAATTTACTTCTGGATACTATCTTATGATCATAAACAAGCTTCTGTCCAAGTTTGGTAGAAATCCAGGATAGTTTAAGAAAGTTATTAAAATTTCAAAAACTTTAACCACAGAGTGAATATTTGTGGACGCCGCCGACGACAACGACGACGCCGACGGAATGTAGGATCGCTATGTCTCGCTTTTTCGACTAAAGTCGAAGGCTCGACAAAAATCTAAATACATGGTTAGATTCAGCATATCAAAGAACCCCATATATTCAATTTTTGTTGAAATCAAACAAAGTTTAATTTTGGACCCAGATTTGGACCAACTTGAAAACTGGGCCCATAATCAAAAATCTAAATACATGTTTAGATTCAGCATATCAAAGAACCCTAAGAATTCAATTTTTGTTAAAATCATACTAAGTTTAATTTTGGACCCTTTGGACCTTAATGTAGACCAATTTGAAAACAGAACCAAAATTTAAGAATCTAAATACACAGTTAGATTCGGCATATCAAAGAACCCCAATAATTCAATTTTTGATGAAATCAAACAAAGTTTAATTTTGGACCCTTTGGACCTCAATGTGGACCAATTTAAAAACGGGGCCCAAAATCCAAAAACTAAATAGACGGTTAGATTCAGCATATTAAAGAACCCCATGAAATCAAGAATAAAACCCCATTGAAATTGGTCAAGAAATAAGCAATTTATAGGAAGTATCTTCTTTTGCACAATCCTGTGCTATTAAATATTTCTTGCTATTGCGCAATACTGTACAATTGACAATTTCTTGCTATTGCGCAATATTGTGCTATTGGATATTTCTTGCTATTGCGCAATACTGTGCAATTGAAGATTTCTTGCTATTGCGCAATACTGTGCAATTGAAGATTTCTTGCTATTGTGCAATACTGTGCAATTGAAAATTTCTTGCTATTGCACAATACTTATTACATAATAATTTACACATCCTGTTTGGTGTGTATCTCCTACCATATCATTATTATTTGATTTTAAATATAAATCAGAAATAACCAACTTAAAATGGAAAATTTTAAAAGAAACAAAAAAGGAAAAAAAGAAAAAAAAGGAAAAAAAAAATAAATCCTTCCCCAAAATTTTTTGAACCCCCATTATGATTCATCACCCCCAAACTCAATCCCAGCCTTCCCTTTGTGGTATGGTACCTTGCAGTACAATTTCAGAGAGATCCATACACTTGAACACAAGTTATTGTCTGGAAACTAGAAAAAAAATGTGTTTTTTGGCCCCTTTTTGGCCCCAAATTCCTAAACGTTTAGGGCAATTACCCCCAAACTCAAACCCAGCTTTCCCTTTGTGATATGGAACCTTGTAGTACAATTTCAGAAAGATCCATACACTTACACACAAGTTATTGTCATGAAACTAGAAAAATACTTGTTTTTTGCCCCTTTTTTGGCCCCTAATTCCTAAAATTTGGAGGCAATTACCCCCAAAATCAATCCCAGCATTCCTTTAGTGATATGGAACCTTGTGGTACAATGTCAGAGAGATCCATACACTAACACACAAGTTATGTCTGGAAGTTACAAAAATGCTTATTTTTGGCCCCTTTTTGGCCCCTAATTCCTTTACTGTTATTACCATAACCCCCAAAATCAATCCCAACCTTCCTTTTGTGGTATTGAACCTTGTGGTAAAATTTCATAAAGATCCATTCACTTAAACTAAAGTTAGAGTGCGAAAACCAATGTGTCTTCGGACGATGACGGACGACGACGACGACGACGACGCCAACGTCATACCAATATACGACCGTAAAAATTTTTTTGCGGTCGTATAAAAACTGCAAAATTTCCTTAAAATTACCAATTCAGGGGCAGCAACCCAACAACGGGTTGTCCGATTGATCTGAAAATTTCAGGGCAGATAGATCTTGACCTGATAAACAATTTTACCCCATGTCAGATTTGCTCTAAATGCTTTGGTTTCAGAGATATAAGCCAAAATCTACATTTTACCCCTATGTTCTATTTTTAGCCATGGCGGCCATCTTGGTTGGTTGGCCGGGTCATCGGACACATTTTTTAAACTAGATACCCTAATGATGATTGTGGACAAGTTTGGTTAAATTTGTCTTAGTAGTTTCAGAGGAGAAGATTTTTGTAAAAGATTACAAAAATTTATGAAAAATGGTTAAAAATTGACTATAAAGGGCAATAACTCCTTAAGGGGTCAACTGACCATTTTGGTCAAGTGACTTTTTTGTAGATCTTACTTTGCTGAACATTATTGCTGTTTACAGTTTATCTCTATCTATAATAATATTCAAGATAATAACCAAAAGCTGCAAAATTTTCTTAAAATTACCAATTCAGGGGCAGCAACCCAACAACATGTTGCCTGATTGGTCTGAAAATTTCAGGGCAGATAGATCTTGACCTAATGAACAATTTAATCCTCATCAGATTTGCTCTAAATGCTTTGATTTCAGAGATATGAGCCAAAAACTGCATTTTACCCTATGTACTATTTTTCAGCCATGTCGGCCATCTTGGTTCGCGGGCAGGGTCATCGGACACATTTTTTACACTAGATACCCTAATGATGATTGTGGACAAGTTTGGTTAAATTTGTCTTAGTAGTTTCAGAGAAGAAGATTTTTGTAAAAGATTACAAAAATTTATGAAAAATGGTTAAAAATTGACTATAAAGGGCAATAACTCCTTAAGGGGTCAACTGACCATTTTGGTCAAGTGACTTTTTTGTAGATCTTACTTTGCTGAACATTATTGCTGTTTACAGTTTATCTCTATCTATAATAATATTCAAGATAATAACCAAAAACGGCAAAATTTCCTTAAAATTACCAATTCAGGGGCAGCAACCCAACAACGGGTTGTCCGATTCATCTGAAAATTTCAGGGCAGATAGATCTTGACCTGATAAACAATTTTACCTCATCTCAGATTTGCTCTAAATGCTTTGGTTTCAGAGATATAAGCCAAAATCTACATTTTACCCCTATGTTCTATTTTTAGCAATGGCGACCATCTTGGTAGGTTGGCGGGGTCATCGGACACATTTTTTAAACTAGATACTTGAATGATGATTGTGTTTAAGTTTGGGTGCATTTGGCCCAGTAGTTTCAGAGGAGAAGATTTTTGTAAAAGTTTACGGACGACGGACGACGGACGACGGACGCAAAGTGATGAGAAAAGCTCACTTGACCTTTCAGGTCAGGTGAGCTAAAAAAATAATGTTTGAAGAAATTTTCTTTTTGTAAAATGTGGTACAATTTAAGAGATATCCATACACTTAAACACAAGTTATTGTCTGAAAACTAGAAAAATACTTGTTTTGGCTCCTTTTTGGCTCCTAATTCCTGAACGGTTTGGGCAATTACCCCCAAAATGAATCCCAACCTTCTACTTGTGGTATTGAACCTTGTGGTACAATTTCAGAGCAATCAAAATACTTATACACAAGTTATTGTCCTGAAACTAGAAAAATGCTTGTTTTTGGCCCCTTTTTGGCTCCTAATTCCTAAACAGTTGGGACCATCACCCCCAAAAATAATCCGAACCTTCTTTTTGTGGTATTGAACCTTTTGGTTAAATTTCATAGAGATCCATGCACTTAAACTAAATTTATTGTCCGGAAACCAAATGTCTTCGGACGAAGGCGACATGATAGCAATATACGAACCCAAATTTTTTGCGGTCGAATAAAAACAAGATGGTTGAGTCACAATTTTCTGATCAATATAATTCTAATCTAAATTGTTTCAGCTGAATCCTGAATCAATGCATTGTGGCAATGTAGTTCAATCTTATAGGTTTATCAGGCATTTGCATCCAATACTAGTCCAAAACGAGTAGCTTTGAGCTGCTCACTTAATCCTTACTTTATGCACATCACGGTTAATTGACAAAACATTTTAGATAATTTTACATAATTAATACAATGTATCAATATTATGATTTAGAATGGTGATCAAGGAAAATCTTAAGTAAACACTCTGTGGGAAAAGATTGTCATAAATCAATACAGTGGTCAATTACCAGAAATTTAATTACAGTTCAACTCCTCAATCCATTCAAATCCATGATGTCATGTTTTGATATATGTGTATTGGTTTGACACGGTGAAGGTAATCTAAATGCTTTTATTAACCTTGGGACTGTATATTTAATTCAAAACTACTGAAATTTCGTCTCATCAGGAGTTAAATATATATATTTGTATGGAACAAAGTTCGTGACCATGGGAAAATTTCGAATTATCCGAATTTTCGAGTTAACGGAGTTCGAGACAACGAGAGTTAACTGTATGCCAAAAAAAGAGATTTTTGTGAAATTGACAAAATAAATATTCAAGTCAGATATGTAAAATGTTATAACAAACATTATGTTAAAAGATCTTTTTTGTCTACACATGCACTCTATGTTTCCTGTCCAAAAAATTAATGTAACTTTACCCATTTTCATTGAACTTTCGTTGAAAATCAAAATGAGTGCTTTTTGTGATGTCATGCAAAGAATACAAGTACATAAATTTTCATCATAAAGACAAAATACCTATCTTGTCATTGTATTAGCTACGATTTGTTGTGATATCGGTCAATAAATCCTAATTTGAAATTGTAGCTAGAAATAGGGGCCATTTTAGGGCCTTATTGAACCTACTCCTTTAACCTGGTATTTTGACTTACCAGTTACATATCTAGTAGCATATATGTACTCATGAGTTTAACCTGTTTTTTTTAATAACCAGTTACATTTTGTACATATCTAGTAGCCTGTACTGATGAATTAAACTTAATATTTTCACTTAACAGTTACATATCTAGTAGCATATATTGATGAATTTAACCCAGGTATTTTCACTTACCAGTTACGTATCTAGTAGCATGTACTGATGAATTTAACCCAGGTATTTTCACTTACCAGTCACATATCTAGTAGCATGTACTGATGATTCTGTTGTAACATTATGTTTGGTAACTTCAGTGTGGATGCCTTGAAGATTAAAGGAATGGTAGTTTCTAGGAAGCTGTGTAGTAACATCATATACAGCATATATCCTCTTGTCTCCAGCAAGGACCATTTTAACTATTTTATCAGCATCAGGCTTCAATGTGAGCTTGATTTCCTGAAATTAAAGATTATACGAAATGACAATGCCTTGAAAAAAACCCAAAAAAACCGACCAAAAGACAAACAACAGTCTACAAAACACACAACTCAGAAAACTGAAGAATGAACAACATAAACCCCACCAAAAAACCGTGTGATCTCCAGTGCTCCGGAAGGGTTAACTTGTTTTCAAAATTTTACAAACTGACAGATTTACCACCCTTTTTAATGTTAAATAAAATTACAAGCTGTTTTGATTTATATCAACCAACCATGATTTAATTCAATTTCATTCCAGTCTTTCAAGAAAGACCGGATAAATAGTTAGTAGCTGGATGTAAGTGTGAAGTTATTACTGCACAAAATTTCAATGGTAAATAATTGATTTTAAACATATTTTATTCATTAAGATATGAAAAGGATTGAGCAACAGGCACAGCCTATCAAATCTCTCTCCATACTACATGTACAAGGTATAAATAAAATATTAACAACTGTATTTAAAATAATATAATATAGTGGAAAATGCATGCTACTTATGAGCACATACAAAGAAATACATATTTACAGTGTTAATTACTAAATGTATAGTATATTTGGTTTATTCCTGCTATTCCTACATTTGATAATCCGGTATGTAAAATGTAAGAAATCCATGTAGGAATAGGAGGAATGCTTGACTTTTTTTGTTGTACAAACATGGGATTAAGGCGGATTAGGTTGTAAAAACATGAAGCTACCGTAATTAACTTCAGGTATGAAATATCCTTTTAGTTTTCGATTCATGTGCAATTTTAGTGTACTAACAGTATAAAATGTTGCAAATCATCAAAAGAAATATATATTCTTGTCTTTTTTTGTACTGTTAAGTTATGTTTGTTTCCTCTTATATCACCGAGAAACAATAAACTTTAAAAATCGGCATAGTTGCATTTATTTATTTCATCATGTTCATGAAAAATAGTAAATAGCACAATAATGTAAACACTATTTATGGTCCCAAAAACCTTTAAGCACTATAATAGGCATTGTTACAAATACATCAGCAAAACGAAATCAAAGTTATAGGACATTAGTCAACATATAGTGCGGTGACAGAAGTGTAAAAAGTCGTCTACATTTTTTGAGTTTAATCTCCCCAAATAACACGCGGCTAAAAATGGTCTTAATATCAAGACAAATATGTCCACTATATTTTCCACACTGTCGTAAGAATTTTGCATGGTCATATTTTTCGAAAAAGTCGTATTTAAATGACTAGAGTATATTGGAAAGTTTGCAACCCTCTTTTTACAAAAGTAAAAAATGAAAACTTCAATCACATGATATTTGCGTACATTTAATGAGTAAAATTTTTCTCTATAGCTATTATCATATGTTAAAATGTTTTATTCTGTATTTTATCATCATCTAATCTATAAAATTTGCAAAATTTTGACTGTTTTAAAGTTAAGTAATTTTATTGCAAATTCAAACACAAAATTTAGTTTCTTCTTCATAGTAGTTGTCATTACTACCTTATATTGTTTTAAGCATATAGTAATTCATAAAACTTGTTACTGTTTGGTACAGAGTGTCTGGCCGTTCTTGTAAGGCAAAGGTAGTTTGAATGGCAATGTTAGCGAAGATATATGTGATGGTGTACCATCGATGTCGGGGCCATCGATGTCAAACCCCTCTGTAAAATCTATCCTACAACTCTTACTTCTGGGTTTGAATGAAGAATAGAAGTATCTGCGTTGGCATGCCTTCTGGGAGTTGTATGGATTGGTTAAAAAAAAGCTAGGGCTTGGTCTTTTTCACTTTGATCAACTTTATACTTTTGTAGCATTTATTCTAGCATCAACGCCATTTAATTAGAACATAGTCAAAATAAATAAAGTTCACCGTACAATATAATATCCCCATAAAGATATCTATTAAACTTTTAAATAAAAGTTGTATTTACGGTTTATTACGGAAGCGTATTAGCGCCACACAACTTTTTTTTTATATTTCTTCCATACGTTTGCGTTATAACGCAAACCTTTGCGAAATAACACAAACCTTTGCCAAATAACGCAAACCTTTTGCGTTATAACGCAAACATTTGCGAATAACGCAAACCTTTGCGCTATAACGCAAACTTTTGGGATATAACGAAAACCTTTGCATTATAACGCAAACCTTTGTGATATAACGCAAACCTTTGCGATATACCGCAAACCTTTGCATTATAACGCAAACCTTTTGCGTTATAACGCAAACATTTGCTATATAACGCAAACCTTTGCGAAATAATGCAAACCTTTTGCTTTATAATGCAAACCTTTGCGAAATAACGCAAACCTTTGCGATATAACGCAAAACCTTTGCATTATTGATTGAAATACAGGTTATAACGCAAACCTTTGCGAAATAACGCAAACCGTTGCGATATAACGCAAACCTTTTGCGTTATAATGCAAACCTTTGCGAAATAACGCAAACGTTTGCGATATAACGCAAACATTTATTTTATCTTATTTCTTATTTAAGATTCAAAGGAAGCAGCAGTTATTAATGGAGAAGGCTGCATATATTAAAATTTATCTTCTTTGTACTCATTGCAAAGTAAAATGCTTTACTATTTAACTAATGATTAGCAGGGTAATAGATATTAGAAGATGTGGTATGAGTGCCGATGAGAAATCTCTCCATCTAAGTCATAATTGGTAAAAGTAAACCATTATTGGTCAAAGTACGGTCTTCAACACGGAGCATTGGCTCACACCGAACATCAAGCTATACAGTGCCCCCAAAATGATATACATGATATACATGTACATATATTACAATGAAAATTGAGTAAATTCAAGTTATACCGAAGAAAAAAAATAAACAGCTGCGCCATGAGCGCATGATACACCCCTCGTCTTGTGTGTGAATTTTTATGCAATAAGCATAAATAGTTTCTGACATACGGCGTGTCATGCGAAAACCCCCTTTCTTTTTTTACAAAAAACTCAATATCTCTAAAATAAAATTTGAATCAAAACCAAAAAGTATACAGATCTTAAGATTAATATAACTAAGAAGTGTGTAAAATTTTAAGCAATAATCATAAATCGTTTTTGAGATATGGCGCGACATGTGAAAACCCCCCTTTAAAAAAAAAAAAATCAATATCTCAAAAATAAAATTTTGAATCAAAACCAAAAAGTATACAGATCTTTAGATTAATATAACTAAGAAGTGTGTAAAATTTTAAGCAATATTCATAAATTGTTTTTGAGATACAGCGCGACATGTGAAAAACCCCTTCCCTTTTTTAACAAAATACTCAATAACTCAAAAATAAAATTTGAATCATCACCAAAAAGTATACAGATCTTTAGGTTAATATAACTAAGAAATGTGTAAAGTTTTAAGCAATAATCATAAACTGTTTTTGAGATACGGCGCGACATGTGAAAAACCCCTCCCCCTTTTTTAACAAAATACTCAATATCTCTAAAATAAAATTTTTAATCATCACCAAAAAGTATACAGATCTTAAGATTAATATAACTAAGAAGTGTGTAAAGTTTTAAGCAATAATCATAAATTGTTTTTGAGATACGGCGCGACATGTGAAAAAAAAACACACACCTGTTTTAGTTACTAAGTCCCGTAACTCAAAAAGTTTTAATCTTATTTTCACCAAAAAGTATACAGATCGTTTGACCATCATAAGAAACAACTATGTTAAGTTTCATGAAATTTGGACAAGTCATTCTCAAGTTACGGTGCGACATGTTTACGCCGGACAGACGGACGGACAGACAGACGGACACCGGACATTTGTATACCATAATACGTCCCGTCAAAAATTTGACGGGCGTATAAAAACCCTGCTAATATAGCTATAGCCGAATATAAATATTCTTCCAAAGTAAGCTCTCGTTTGAGGATTGTGTAAGGTTGGTTAACTACCCTTTTGCAATAAATGAATAAAATGAAGATGTTTTATCAATAAAATTATGTTCTCTCCATTTAAATTGCTACTAAGTTACCACACTAGATTGAAAATTTCATGACTTTTTATCAAAGAATCTTTATCATATTCTGAGATTTTAAAAAACGATTTCTTACATCAAAACTTTAAAAAAAATTCTTTCTTAATAATTCATTTTACAGCAGAAAGATCATTTTGTCTATTTGACTTGACAGTTTTACAATTGTATGACATTATTTTTGCTCTTATCTACTTAATCAAAATTTTAAAAATGTTGGCATTTCAAATAAAATATGCCTATAACATATCTATTTTCTTGTTAAGTTATATACTTTTCTGATTCCTATGCATATTAATTATAATGACTTTGCCTTGTATTTATGGTTCTTTTCCTAACTAAATCACAACAGAAATTTAATGACAGACGGACATATATACAAAACTTAATGAATAATTGTAATCAAGATGTTTGCGTTATTTCGCAAAGGTTTGCGTTATATCGCAAAGATAGGAAGAAAATTATAAAAAAAAAATTGTGTGGCACTAATACGCTTCCGTAGTTTATTGTTTTTAAAACATTTTTTTAAAATTTTTAACAGAAATACATTTTTTTGGGGAATGTTCTATTCTATATTCTCTACAATGCATCTTCTTTTATTTATTATTAATTTTTATCATTGTAATAATCCTTTCCACATTACCTGTACTTGCCTGTATTTAAATCAAATTCAAATTGCTAATAGAACAAAACACCTTATACCAACATCTATTGTTCTTTGTTTGTAGGAATAGAAGGAATATGAATTTATAAAATGTAGGAATAGCAGGGACACCAGTATATTTAAGTATGTAGGCAATTTATCATTATTTATTCAAGTACCTTGAGACATGTAAATATCCTTTATAAGTCATCATAAATATATACATAAGGTTTGGAAGAGACACTTAGCTTACTTAGTGGAATAAATGAAATGATGTTGAAAAAAAAAGAAGGAAAGAAATGAAAAAAAATAAACACTATAAATAAAAAAAAAAAAAAAAAAAAAAATCAAACAAAAAGG